CATTACCGGTACGTAACGGGCTGTTACAATGTGAGAGTAAGTTTCAAAGAAAATGTATTACTCAGAACTCAAAAGTATAAGCCATTATTTCTAGGGCAACATTTTAAAATGGTTTTCCTTACTAAACCAATTTATTTCTTCAAAATTAACTGCTGAGATGATTTGACCGAAAGTACATTCTGGCATCGATTTTTTTTTCTTGATACAAAGGAGGGGTAGAGCTGTTCCAATTCAGGTATTGATTTTGGCCGTGGTATACATCTTTGAGGCCCCAGAACTTGGTTTCTTACATGAAGTTGAGGATTACTAGATTTACTACCTTGGAACTTTTTTTTGATGGATGTGAAGCCAAACTTTTGTCTTGCTTATTATTAGAAGATACACAAACACCATAAGAAAGTTTTTTATATTAACTTTGGTTATTGGGATTGCAATGATATTGACCTCAAAAATGCATTAGCCTGTCACCTTTTGGTTTCAGTCTCCAAAAGATCATAAGGCTTGCTCGCTTTTCCTATGGGTGAATGATGACGCGAGAACATGGCAAGCCAATTATGCCATTGCTCTAAAAAATAAAAATAAAAACTCAAATTCTGAAAACACCAAACCTCCCTTCAAGTGCAGTTAAAATAACAAGTTCCAATAATTCAACGAAAGCCAATTGACGATCAGAAGGAATATATGGAGTAAAAACAGCAGGAAGGAATATATGGAGTAATGATCAGTCCACTGTCTAATTTCTCTTTAATGAAGTGACGATCAATCTCAACATATTTGGTTCGATCGTGTTGAACTGGATTGTGGGCTATACAAATAGCTAACTTGTTATCACAAAGTAACTTCATAGATCCTTCATATCTCACCTTGAGATCATCTAGAATGATTTTCAGCCATAATAAGTCACAGATACCTTGAGCCTTAGCTCGAAATTTTGCTTCTGCACTTGATCTAGCAACCACATTTTACTTTTTACTTCTCCATGTTATAAGATTTCCACAGAGAAACATACAATAGCCCAAAGTAGACCGTCAGTCAGTCACATATCCAGCATAATTGTCGTCTATATAAACTTCTAAGGATAAGTTTCCTCCTATCTGGAACAATAGTCCTCTACCTGGTGTGCCTTTCAGTTATTGGAGAATCCTGTCCACAACTCGCAAGTGTTTCTCCATCGGATCATGTATAATTGACTAACAACACTAACTGCATAAGCTAGATCAGGTCTAGTATGAGCTAGATATATCAATCTGCCCACTATTAGTTGATATTGTCGTTTGTCAACTGGAGAGCTCTCATTTTCACTTCCTAGTCTGTGATTCTGCTCAATCGGAGTACTGGAAGGTTTACACCCAAGTTTTCCTGCTTCTTTAAGAAGGTCAAGAACATACTTCCTCTGACAAATAAATATCCCTTACTTTGAATGAGCAACTTCTATCCCAAGAAAATATCTCAGTTTTCCAAGATCTTTAACTTCAAATTCAGCGGTCAGTCTTTTTTTCAGAGCACATTTCTCACCTATATCATCCCCTGTTATAATAATGTCATCAACATAAACTAGAATGATAGTGGTCTTACCTTCCTGAGAATGTTTAAAGCAAAGTGTATGATCCCCTTGGCTTTGCTTGTATCCCAATGAAAGCATGACTTTGGTAAATCTTCCACACCAAGCACGCGGGGATTGCTTCAAACCATACAACGCCTTCTTTAAACTGCAAACTTTATTATCTCCATTTGTAGAGTTAGATCCTGGTGAAATCTCCATGTAAACCTCCTCTTCTAATTCACCATTGGGGAAGGCATTTTTCACATCAAATTGGTTCAAATCCCAACTAAAATAAGCAGCGAGGGACAATAGAACTCTTACAGTGTTCATCTTGGCCACAGGAGCAAATGTTTCTTCGTAATCAATGCCATAGGTTTGTGTGTATCCCTTGGCTACCAATCGAGCTTTATACCTCTCAAGAGTCCCATCAGAATTATACTTCGGAGTATACACCCATCTGCACCCTACTGTCCTTTTTCCATTTGGCCTACTAAAAACTTCTCATGTATTATTCTTCTCCAATGCATTCATCTCTTTATGCATGGCCTAAACCCAATTATAATCCTTTAATGCTTCATGTACTGATTTTGGGATTGAAATGGAGTCAAGTGCTGTAATAAAACTTCTATGCTGCATAGAAATATTCTTAGAGGAGACAAAATGAGAAATAGGGTGTTGGGTACAAGACCTTTTCCCTTTTCTTACAGCAATGGGTAAGTTATCAGAATTAATATCAGGCTCAGGAATAAAAGAAGTAGTGTGTTCAGTACTTACCAGCGGTTCAGGCGATTGCAGTTGCTGGTGGGGGAATGTGGGTTGTTTCTTCCTTTGGTACAATAGTTCGGGTGTCTCAGCTTTGCGTACTTTCTGTCTATCAATAGGAGGCATATCACATGAGGAATCAGATGAATTTTCAACCTCAACAATTAAGTCTTCCTTCTCATTGTCATGTAGTGTAACTACTGGAGTAGATGATGTAGGTAACAGAAATGGAGACTTAGACTTGAAGAAAATGGATGAAGCTTCTACACTATTCTCCCCCTGAAGCTGGGGGTGTAGAAAGTAAGACTTAGATTCATGGAAGCTAACATCCATAGAGACAAAGAATTTACGACTTGGAGGGTGGTAACATTTGTATCCTTTCTTGTTGGGAGCATAACCAAGGAAGACACACTTAAGGGCTCTAGGCTCTAATTTACTCCGATGTTGTTTATGGATATGGACGAAGGCAACAGATCCAAAGATACGAGACTGGAGACTTTGCATAATTGGAACAGAAGAAAAAAAAGAGGTCATGAGATCAATAGGACTTACATGGCCAAGGACTCTGGAAAGCAAGCGATTGATCAAATAGGCTGCAGTTAATAAGGCTTCTCCCCAGTAAGAGTTGGGTACAAATGTCTGAAACAATAATGCTCTGGTGACTTCAAGCAAATGTCGATTTTTTCTTTCAGCAACCCCATTCTATTGAGGGGTATCCACGCATGTGAGCTCATGAATCATACCCTTATCTGAAATGAATTGTCACAGACGTTGGTTGACATACTCCGTACCATTGTCAGATCTTAATCTCTTAATACTTTTACCAAACTGTGTCTCGATCATTTGATAAAATCGAATAAACAATTATGGTACTTCTGACTTGTCTTTCATCAAGAATATCCATGTCACCCGAATGCAATCATCAATAAAAGAAACAAACCACCTAGCACCTAAAATATTGTGTACTTTAGAAGGGCCCCGAACATATGAATGGATAAGAGTAAAAGGCTCAATGCTCTTTATTGAACTTGAAGGAAAGGGCACGCGTTGGTGTTTCACAAGCTCACAAACATCACAATGGAAAGAGTCAATTGCCTGATCCTTAAACAAAGAAGGAAACATTGACTTCAATAAGCCAAATGACGGGTGCCCCAGGCGTTTGTGGTGAAGCCAAATCTGTGAGAATGAAGTAGACGGGTGATGACTCATCAATAATTGATTCCCGGTATCCCTTGTAGCATGCTTTGGAATGAGATAGTACAACCCACCTTGCTCCTTAGCAACTCCAACCGTCCTCCCCATGGTGATATCCTGAATAACACAATGGGTAGGAAAAAAGGTGACATCACAATTCTTGTCAGTTGTAAGCTTATAAGTGGAGATAAGATTGGTAGAGAGCTGAGGAACATAAAGAACATTCTTTAAAAATAAGAAAGGTTGAATTTGAATGTTACCAGAACCCACAACTGATTTGTGGGATCAATCAGCTACAGCTATAGTACGGATACCACTAGTAGGGTGATATGAAAGAAAAGAATCAGCTAGACAGGTCATATGATCAGTTGCACAAAAATTCATAATCCATGAATTTTTGAAATCAGTGCAAGATGTAGGGTGTGTGGATCTTACCAAACATAGTTGATCAGGAAAAAAAAAAATTCGCTTTTTTTTCTTCTTTTTTTTTTCCCGATGAACAGTGCTCGATGAACAGTGTCGCGTGAACAGTACCGATGAACAATGCGCGATGAACAGTGCCAAGTGAACAGTGTCACGTGAACATTGCATTTTTTTCTTGAGCTGTTCCGATCGTCTAATGAAAAAGAAACCTCCGTAGAATGATAGATCTGAGAAAACATAGTGAAACAAGGGTCCTCACAGTCCAAAAGGTCCTCGAATTTTTTTTTTCCGGCGACAGCTTTGTTGCAGCGAGAGGCAAAAGGGTTTGGTTTTTAGAGGTAGTGATTTGTGAAAGCAGAGCCCTCAGAATCGAGAGCTCTGATACCAACTAAAAAAGAAGATTTATATATTATTGAATTGTATAATATTGTACAAGAGTTCTTTATTTAAAGAAACTGAAAATCTAATGGGCTAAGCCCAAATACACTTGAGAGTATTCTAACTATTACAAAATAATAATAAAATAATTCTATTATTTACAATAAAAATTGTTTCAAAAAGGATGAGAGGGAAATTAAGAACGAGAACTATGAGGTAACCTTAACAGAATCTTTGAAAAGTTGTTTGAAAATTTTAGCATGGCATAATGAACTTTGAACAATGAAATTTGAGCAAAGAGAACTACTTGAAACAGAAAATTGATAAGCAATGAAAATTTGAGGAAAGCTGCAGGATCTAACACAATATAACGAAGCATCTCTGTGAATTAAGAAAGAAAAAGCAATCACTTTTTAACGTTGGTAAATATGATAGGCCACATATGACTTGATCCCATTTAATGATGAATTAACATGCTCGCCGCAGTCCACATCATTGTTACAGTTCACATATGTATGAGAAATGTTTTTTTCCTTTCACATGAGACAAGATTTTATTCATACACATACATTGACTTTCGTGCCAAGCTTTTGTTTTTACTTTTTTTTAAATTGCTGGTCTCACTTTTTTGTCTCAGTAGGAGACAACTCATCTCTCATGTTAAAGGAGAAAAGTATTCCCCATGTTATTTAAATCAAATTTGAATGATAACATTCGATGCAACCTGTTAAAGTAAAATGTACGATAATTTACATGGTTACTTACATTACAAATTAACCTAGCATATACATTACAGTAAAGTAGCGCTCGATGAAAAAGTAAAAGAAAAAAGGAAACAAAACTTGTGGAGCAAAGTGCCATTTTCATAGTTGCACACTTGATCAAGAACCCAAAATTATACATCAATATTTACCTACCCTCGTCAAGACTCTCATGAAGGATAGCTTTAGAAGCATCTATTGGTGAATGGTCTGCACCACCAACTATGCTGGTACTTGCTGATGAGTTGTAATAACTTGTATCTGATGCTTTGGTTGCAATGTGAGTCATGAAGCTACTCACATCATCAAATTTCCAGTCAGTCAAGTATCCAGGCCTTGTAGTTACAGTGCTCACTTCAATATCTCCCGAAAGCATTGCCACCACACGTGACATTGATGGCCGTAATGTTGGTGATGTCTGAGTGCACAAAAGTGCTATTCCCACCATGCGTTTTACTTCTTCCTTATTGAATTCTGATAGTCCAGGATCTACCAGATCAGTTACGCAGTTGTTTTCATGAAGCTGCCAAGCCTAAGAAACAAAATGAAAAAAAAAAAAAAAACAACAACAACCAATAACATTAAGCTAAAACAAATAAATGTTTTGAATATTGAATGCACAAATTGAAGGTGTCAAATACGAGGAAATCCTAATTTAGTTTTAATAGCATTAACACGAGTCAACTGTAATCAGCATACATCCACATTCTACTAACTTTCAGAAGAAAATTAGTTTCATATGCTAGTAAGATTGTCCTGAATTCTGATAATTAAAAAAAAAAAAAAAAAAAACTTGTTTTCCCATGGTAGATTATCCCATATAATTGAAAATATATATTTTCAAATAACCTGCCATTGATAATGAAGTGATGATTCTATATGTACACCCCAATTTATATATAGTTACCCAATAAAGAACGTTTAATATGGGAAAGCTGATCAGTCATGAGAACAAGACGATCTCACGAAAGCCATAACTTCTTGATGAAGCATGGTTTTATGAAGAGTCAAGCCCTTCAATGTTTAAGAACTTTGCTATAGACCAATCATTATAATCAAAGGGCTCTTATATAAATTAATGTTCTAAAAAAAATGTTTGTAACCTAAATATTATATTATTGTCACATCATCTTCTTGATTGTTATATACCAATAGACTGTTGGGTTTGCTCTTTTACTAAAGCCCAAATGGGTTATTAGTATGAGAAGAGCCCAAGGAACCTAGAGCCCAATGAGCTAGGGTTTCTTGGAACCATATAAATAGTACCTCTTAAGTCATCAGCCTCCGAGGTCTTTTTTGTGAGAAAGAGGCAATCAGAATCTAATCAGTGCCCACACACTTCCCCTTCCTCCTCGAGAGATAGTTTGGAAGATCTGCCACAGTCCAGCTTCAAGGAGGTTGTTCGTGCTGCGGCGCTGAGGTGAGCTGTTCGTGAAGAGGAATCCTACAAGGGAAGATTCTACACGAGACCTGCGCACCGAGAGGTAATTGAGAAACAAGGATGATTCAGTAAGCATACCAATGTACTAGGTCCTAAACCGCTTCCGCATAAATCTAAGATTTCCTTCAATTGGTATCAGAGCCTTGGCTGTACATTGGTATGTGAATCTAGTTTCACTATTCATGTAATTAGTTTTGCTTCTTGAAATGTGGCACCTAGGGTTCTAGGATTATGGTATGAATCTAGCATGTGTATTTTATAATTCATTTTCATAAAAGTTTAAATTTTAATCGGTAAAAATGCTTTAATCCATGGTTAGGGTCTCTCGTGTATTTCTCGATTTGTAACAAGGAGGCTAATCTCATATGATTAGGTTTCCTCCTTGCTGTTTTTGTTTATTTTTGGAATTTCTGTGTATTTTTCAAATATTTTGTAAAAGTTCAAGATCGAGAAACCGCGAGTAAGATGCGCAGTCAGAACTGTCGGAGACTTTTCGAGGTCTTCCCGATCTCGGAATGAGGCGATCTATATATGGTTGGAAAGAGGACGGAAAGACGAACGCAACGGTGGGTGGTTTACCGCCATCTGAGTTTACACGCGCCCCCACGCGCCTCCACAAGATTCTGAGAGTGGCCGCCACTCTCCGGCAAAGAATGGGAGAGTGAGGGAGCGTCCGGCCACCTTTTTGGGTGATTCCGGCGGCGGTGCACTCGTCTCTACGTGGTGGTCCTTCCCCTGGAGTTTCAGCCTGATTTGACTTCGGGTGACGGCGCGGCAGACCTGACGGCTAGGGTTCCTCTTTCGCGTCCTAGGGTTTCTTGCCAAAGGATTGGGTCTTTGGGCTTTTGGACCCATGAAACCCTAAAGGGGCTTGAGACAGATACTATGGGCTAGGCGAAAGTTGAATTCCAAAGTTGTATTATTTAATTTTATTTTATTTTATTTTCTTTAAAATAGGAAGGCCATGGATTAAAGTAATTATGATTTATTATTTAATGCTTTTATTGATTGGTATAAATTATATGATTGATAACATGCTTTATTGTGATAACATGCCATATAGAATAGGTGGTACCATATTGTTGCATAACTTGTATGATTGCATGAGCATAATAGCTATTATGTACTAGTATGATAGTTATTATGGGATTATTTTGATTTTAAATCATCCTAAGAAATTAATTAATAATTATTATGATTTTTATTGAAAATCTAGATTAATAATTGAATTAATTAATTTTGGATAATTAACATCAAGACAAATAATCGTTATGGAAATTATTTTGATTTCAAATTATCCTTATAAATGATAATTATTATGATTGTTGCAATCTAGATTAATAATTAAGTCAGCTATTTGGATGATTTAAATCTAGAAAAATAATTAGAGAAAATTTCCTGAGAGAATTCTTTTATTTTGCGAGTAATTTGTGGGTTTTTCTGAAATGGTCATGGAATAACACACGCTGCATACAACATTCATGTATCATGATTGTTTGGAGCACACGCTGACGTAAAGTGACCGGATTTCAGGACCTTAATACTTTCAAAATTATGTTAAGCTTAGTGCACGTTTATCGGCGCTCTTACTTATATAGTTTTTGAAATCGAACAAAGGATACTCTCAATTAAATAATTCTTGGAAATTAGAAAATGTTGCTTATGTTGAATGGAAGGAGATTTAAATGAAGAGATTAATTTAACCTTCAAGCGCATTATAGGACCATTAATAAAATAATCATGTGAAGTCCCATCGAATAAGCATGATTGAATTTTATTAGATTGGACTTAAATATCTATGGGAGGAGATTTAAATTAAGAAATTAATTTAACCTCCAGGCGCATTGTGGGCCTATCAATAAAATAATCATGTGAGGCCCCAACGGATTAGCATGATTGGATTTTATTGGGCCTTAATAATTTCAAAATTTTAATAAAGTATTGTACGTCCCATCGTCGATAATACTAAGTTATTAAAGATAATTTTGAAATTAAACAATGAATTCGTTAGGGCTTATGAAAATTCTCAAACAAAAATGTTGAATGGGTGACGGTTTTAAAAATTAATTAATTTTAAAACCTGCGGGCTCCATTTGTGGGTTTATTAGTGAAATGGTTATCGCTGAAGCCCCATCGGATAAGGATAATCAGATTTCACTAGATTAAATCTTAATAATTTCAAAATTTTAGTAAAGTATTGTACGACCCATCGTCGGCAATGCTTAGACACTAAGGATAATTTTGAAATTAAACAATGGTTAATTACATTCAACTTTGGTAAAATTGTTAACCCTCCCATCGAGGCTCTGGCAATGGCACTGAAGGCCCAAATAACAATTTTGGTTTTTACAAGTGACTTGCCCATCGTAAGCCTTGTAAAGATAAACTGAAGGATTGTTAACAATAAACAAGAGTAGTTATGAGAATCTACTTGCACTTCGTTTGTTTATTGCATTATTTGTTTGTAATTGTGTGCTTTATATGTTTTTCAGAAAATATCTTAGAAATGATTTTGACTTGAAAACCTCTAGATGGTACCAACTATGAATAAGTGAAAAACAAATCTTTGATATTGTTCTAAAACATGGAAGCTAAAATTTGTCCTGACAATGCGAGGGCCATAGCAACCTGCAGAGAATGCGTCTAAGGAAACTAAGATGCATTTCTCAGATTAGGAAAGGGCAGATATGGTAGTTCGCTGCTATATTATTGTCAGTCTTTCCAAATACTTGCAGAAGCAAGTGTACATGATTAAGAGTGGAGTAGAAATGCTTCAGACTCTTAATGACATGTTTGCTGAGTCTAGCAGCTCTGCTAGACAGAATGCAGTCGATGCAGATTTTGCTAAGAGTCTTGTTAAATCCAAAGGAAAACCCAAGGGTGGTAACAAGAACAAAATGACTTGTTTATCAGTTGTCAAACCAGTTTCTATGAAGAAGCCGCAAGGCAAGTTCTTCAAGTGCAGACTGAAGAGATACTGAAAGAAAAATTGCCCAGAGGTGATGAAAAGAACCAGACATGGGCATATCAAGACCTGATCAGTGAATGAATTATTGATTCAGGAATCACTGATTATGTTTATTACTCTTTGTAGTAGTTCAAACATGGCATACCTGTCAGCAATGGACATAGATATTTTAAGCTTGAAAATGGGAACTTGTGTCTGCATTTGCAGTAGGACAAGTTATTTATAAGACTATGGTTTTGGGTGACTGTTTATTTGTTCCAGATTTCAAGAGGAATTCAATTTTTGTTAGTTGTTTTGGTTAAAACATGGGTTGACAATGCAATTGATTCCTCAGTTACATTTCGAAGTTCATCTTCGTCTTGTTTTGTTCTGGTACATTGTTTAAATAGTCTTTATTACCTATGTCCTATACCCTCTTAAATTTGTTATGTTGAATGGAAAATGTGATGAACAAGAACATTCACCAAAGAAATAAAAGTTTCAAATGAAACATAACTTTGGCCTTTGTGATTGAGTCACATTATCTCAAGTAGGAAACATGTTTTAGTTAAAAGAGGGACTGAAAGTTCAAGAATCTTTTAACTAACAGCTACATGTTAGTCCTATTTGGAAGGTAAAATGGCCAAGCAATCCTACAAGGGCCAAAAAGGTTTGCGCAACTATTCAACTGGAACTGGTACATACTAATAATGTATGTGGACCAGTTAGCGTTCAGACCAGAAGAGGTGATGAGTACTTCATTATATGAATGTTTACTCTGGATTTAGACAGATGAACCAAGTGCGCCATAAGTCTAAAGCTTTTGGAAATTCCAAGAGGTTTAGTCTGAGGCAGAAAAGCATGTAGGTGTTCAAATCAAAAACACTTTGGTCTGACTAAAGTGTTGGCTACCTGTCTGGTAAGTTCAGGTTTTACCTGATTTAAAAGGGGATAGTTTTTGTAACTGTCAACTCTAAGAACGCATTAGTTGAATGAAGTTGCAGTATGCAAAAATCAAACATTTCTAGACTTGGTGAAGATCATGTTCAGTTATTCATCTTTGTCAATGTTGTTCAAGGGAGATGCCTAAGAGAAGGAAATGTACCTTCTTAACTTGGTTCCGTCAAAAGTTTGTTGTAAAGAC